TATTATCTCACTGTTTTAGTATATACTGAAACAACTCTTCACCTCAGTGTCAGTGGTTAGCGGTGGATATTTACCTCGCCACTTTGCGGCTAGGTAAATATCCACCACTAACCACCTCCACTTTTGTGAATAGTTGTTAATGATTTATTTATTTTTTTACTTATTTAATAATTTGCCAAAGGAAGGGAAATTTATAGTAGGACTAGGTTGTCCCCTACTAGGTAAATTACCTTTCCCTATCCCCTACAAACAAACAAATTTGAAACCCAACCCACTTACAAACCCCCATGCTAAGAAATAACAAAATAGATAATCATTAACCAAAGAGAAAAAGAAAGAAAAGACTAGTTGATTAACATGTACAAGAATTAAGAGCATTGAAACGATGACGTGTAAAGGGTTTTTCTGATTTTTCCTTGTTAGGCCGATCTAAATACAAACATACACGATGAAGCTGGAGCCTTTTATGGTGTTTCAAGCACGTGAGTTTCTCATTTTGAAATAGTTCAATCATTAAATTGAATAATTTTTTACAATTATCACTGAACTATCTAAAAGAAAGATATTGTTTCAAATGAAGTTTAGCTATAATTTATTTGGTTTATACTTCTCTTCATACTAGAAATTGTATATAACTCTTTAGGTGCTGTAACTTGTTTCCTAAAAGAATAATATTGTGTGGTGATAATTATGTAGGGAGGATAAAGTTGCCTGCACAACTTCTTGGCCACCTGTTTTGAACTTGACAACTAAGGTAACTTTGTTACTAATGGAAAGCCTTTGTTCTCTTTCCAGTTATGAGTCAAATGAAAATATGACCATAACGTGTTCCACAAAAGTTTGTTCATTTGGTAAGCAAGTTGTGGAAAAGGTGGAGGTAAGAAAAAATGTTAAGAAATAATGATTAATTAATCAAAGCCCTCAATCTGTTCTTACCAGGCAGACATCATTAATTTTGGTGAGAGTATTGGTGAAATATCTAGCCTGTTCAAGTAGATATTGTACATGTGTTAAGTTTCTATAGGCATGAAAAGACCCATCATAGATATATTTGGATGCTGTCATCCCTTTTACCCTTTTTTTTAGCTACATGTACTTTGGCTATAGCAACTTAAGTTGAGCTGTTTAAATGTTCTTTCTTACATAAGTGTGGAATTTTTTTTCTTCTTTCTTTCAGACTGAATTTGGCCACTTTGAAAACAGTCGGTTTGTTTACCGCATTCACAGGTCACCAATGTGCGAATACATGATCAATTTTGTTCACAAACTTAAACAGTTACCTGAAAAGTACATGATGAACAGTGTCCTGGAGAACTTCACTATTCTTCAAGTAAGTCTATAAGTGTCACTAGGGAACTGAATTCAGTGGGCTTTTGGTGAGAATAAAGTTTGCAATAATTTCATTCAACTTGTCATGCCACAACAATGAAATTGCCTGTAGTACGTATCTCAGTGCAAGTTGTAAGTTCATATTGCATTGCATTGTCAATTGTTGCAAGTGGGCATTCCACTTTTGTTCCCAGGCTCTGTTCAAGCCAGTATGGTGCTCTTGTATTGTGAATTTGAAAACTTGTGATAAAATTGTCCAACCTGATTAGTTGAGTAGACAGGCAGGTTGTAATAACTGTGGTGAATGTGGGGATGCAAACTTGGAACAAAATAATTCAGATAAACTTGCAACCTTCTGACCCTAAAGACCAACATCCATTATCACCCTTCAGGGTTCGACACTAATGGTAGCCCGCTAGCCACATACTAGAATAAATTCAGTTTTGGCTAGTGGTTTACAATTTCCACTAGCCAGTTTGGGTAGTGAACAGACTGAAATTGTCATAAAATCTAAAAACACCTAAGATGTCACTAGCCACTTGGCTAGTAAGTTGAAAAGGTAGTGTCAAGCCCTGCCCTTGCATCACGCATTAAGTTCTCAAGGATAAAGGAAAGGATCACTTTCTAAAGAAGCTCTTGATTGTTTAACAAATTCTCCATGCCAGCAACTTAGGAAAAGTGTAGAGAACAGCATGGAGAATATATACATACTGAAGTTAGATTTTAAAGCATGAAGGTAATTAATTAATTGCTGCCAGGGTACAGCCTGCACTGCCATCATCCATGGACATGCTTATTTTAGACTTGCTTATGGGGTTTTTGGAAAGTGGCTAACAGTTAAGCCTTATTGATTGATTTATCATTTATTTTTAGGTTTTATCAAACAGGGAGACACAAGAAACCTTGCTTTGCCTTGCCTACGTGTTTGAAGTATCAACTAGTGAACACGGGGCTCAGCATCATATCTATCGACTAGTTAAAGACTAAAAATAATAGTAACTGCTTTCTAGAACATTTATATGTATATCGATTGTTTCCCTTGGTAAAATTTATTCTTTCAAGTTCTACTTATTGAATAACTTGTACCGTGTAAATGAAAAAACATCAGCCATTTGAACAACTAGAACTACCCAAACATGATAAGGAAAATGGTTTCAGAGCAAGTTGATAATGCTTTGGGTTGTTTGTGATACAGCATTTAGTCATGAGTTACAAAGTTAAAGAAGAAATCAATCATTTTTAATCGATGCATTTCAGATGACTGTCCGCTCTGCCCAGGTCTTAAGTTGCAGATATCAAAAATTTTTAATCTTCTCTGAGCTATTAACTGCTATCAATATTCTAAAAAACAAGGAAAATTTTTTGGGAAATGCATAAATAGTATGTTATGACTGGGGAGCATTTTAACCTTAATCTTTTGAGAAAAAGCTATTCCTTTACATTTGCTTATTAACCCTTTCACTTCTGAGACTTCAATAATATCAAATCACTTCACTGTCTGCCACATATTTCTACTTAGTCTGTTTTTAACCGTTTAACTTACAAGCGATTGATTAACATGAAACTTCTCCCTAGACTTTCCATACACTATTCAACAAACAGGTAATGAGAATACTCAAACTCATCAGCTAGAAGTTGTCATCCTGATCTAACATCAAATTCTCATAATGAATTTACAAGGAAATAAGTAGTAGCTAGAGTGGAGAATTAACAATTAGATATTGAAAGATACTCCTTGTTCTTGTTCTTTCTTCTAATTACTTTTATTCTTGACGGTGAAGTGCGAATGTAAGCATTAATTACTTATTGTCGCTCCATGGAGTGAAGGGGTTAACTAAAACTTGCAATGAAACCAAATTGTGAGCAAGACTTAAGAATGTTTTTTTCTTGTCAGTTTTTTCCCATTATTTCTCTTTAATTTTACTTCTAAATTGACAGAAATAGGCTGACTTGTTCTCCTAGTTGATCAAATATGAAATTCAAATCTACTGGGTGTTTGTGAAGTCAAGATATGTTGCTTTATTCCCTGGTTGGATGTTTTTGTTTTCTTTTGTTTTTGTGGATACAAACTGCACCATGGTGGTGAATTGTTCTGTACTATGGGGGTTTCTTATTACTCGATAAATTTACTGACATTTAAAGACTATTACTAGTGTACTTATTCAAACGATGTAGGCTATGGAGCTCTTTTCCTAGGTAGTATTTTTGAACTAAACATTTTTACATGTTTATCTAAAGCAGTGCAGCTTAACTGTACTGAACATACAATTGCTTCAAGTTGTGGAGCTTAAGTACCAGGGGAGTTTTCAAGTGTAAAGTGGTACATATTTTCACTTATTTCTTATCTCTCCACATACATGTTAATTTAACTGTCCTGCACACTTCTTGTTCTGTTCTTAGAACATTTATTAGGCAAACTTTCTGACAAACACTTTGGACACATCAAACAAAAACAAAAAAAACAAGAAAACTATGTCCAAGTGAACTTAATTATGGTGTGAACAAGGTCTGTGAGCACATTGTCCAGTGAACATCATTCTTGTAAAAACCTGTTTTATTTCTTCAAATTTTTAACTTACCATATGCAAAGTGCTCTTTAAACTTGGTGAAAGGTATTTCTGGTATAAAAACTGGTTCTGCTAACAAAAAAAACTGGCAGCTGGCTTGGAAAATTCCTTCGGAGATGCACCATATTTTTGTATTGTGGTGATAGAGGAAATTCTTTGAAAAAGCTGTTTCCAAACAAAATAAAAATATTATAATTATATAGTTAAACTAAGGTAGTTTAGAGGCAGGTTTTACTAATTACACTTAGATCAGTTTGTTATTGTCAACCAATTTATGTAATATAGGGAACTATAAAGCTTAAATATATATATTGGACATAAAAAGATTCTTTCAAGAAGCTTGGTCATACTGTGTTTTTTAAGGTGTTTGATCAAACAGGTAGACTCGCCACAACCTTCATTGTTAAAACAGTCAGAGCTTCTCTCTTCTTGATTTTGTTATTAGTATTATGTTTATTTTTAGTATGACATGGAGTACACACACAAAAAAACAAAAATTACAAAAAGGAAATTAGCTAAAATACTTAATCCCAGTGCACAAAGAAAAACTTACTCTAGCATTTTGTACAGCTTCATGTACATTTTTTATGTAATGCCTGGCTTTTTATTCTCTTTGTCTTAGTACTAAAATAGTATTTATGATTTCTTAAAACTGTGAGACTGCATTTCACTAATTCTTATCAATGGCTGTTGTCCCTTATAGTGGGGGAGTGGCAGATGATCTGGGTTTCAAGGAGAAAAAGAGGTTATAGATAGCTCAGGGTTTCTGGGAAATAAGGGGTTGCAGATGGTTCAGGGTTTCAGGGAATAAAAGCAGGAAAAGGAGAATAACTAGAAATGTACCCCTTTTTTCAGAATATTTCAAGTGGAAAAGTGTTATATTTGATTTATCAACTAAACAACTGAGCTTTCCAAACAAAGATCAAGGATTGCTCAACCAACCTTAAGCTAACTTCATCTCCTATATTCATAATTTTTGGGGGAAAGGAAAAGTGGAATTTTCCAAAGAGGAAAGAAGACAAACCCTTTGAGTAGAAGTGCAGATCAAAGTAAGATAATTCCCTTGGAGGTAAAATGTAATTACCAATTCACCATAACACAAAATTGACATTTGAACACTTTAATTTGTCATTAAACGTTTTAGAATAATTCATCCAGGAGTATGGTATAATGAACAAAGAGAAAGAAACCTATCCATCTTGAACTTGAATACTTGTTGAGAAAAATCATTTTATTCAACCATTTGCCCACAGGTCATTCTATGGACTAAAATACAGGAGTAAAGAGATCTCACCTTAATTATAATGTTAAAAAATAACACTGCTTGCAAAGAAAATATTGCAAAATTGTTTTAAGTACCAGACTGGAATTAAAAAAACCCACCTCCAGGAATGTCAACCAGAGACAATTTGGGAAACTTTTTTAGCTAAGATGTTCTGCATTATATAAATAACAGCACTCAACAAACTCTGGTAATTTTGTTTCTTTTTTCAAATATATTTTCAACCTTGATAGGCCAGTGTTTGGAGAAGTAAATGAAATTCTCCTTTTGGATCCTGGTGGAAACTTGGAGGGCAAATCATTCATACAGTGGAGCAGAAGCTGCCTTATAAATCCACCATGAGAAACAGCTAGAACATTAGCTAGCTGTGATGTCTGTTTTTGTTTCTGTGTCTCACATTTTGAGGTCTGTGGGTCATTGATGATTTCATTATTGAAGCAAATGTCATTCTGAATGGGACTACCAGAATTGCTACAGTGTGAAGTTCCAATTTCATGTATTAAGGAGTTCAAAAACTTGGATGCTCTTTCCTTCAGTTCAGCAATGGTTTCTCCCCCCTTTGGTGTAAAAGTGTTTGTCTTCACGTTGTTGTCCACTGCCATTTGTTTAAACCTTTGGTTGGACACTCCTTCTGCTTCACCATAGCCCTGTAAATGGACAAAGAAAATAATTTATTGTAATATTTTCTACTCTATAATTTCTAGACCATTTCAAATTGAGACTAAAAAGAGACTGCAAGCAGTTAACCAAAACATATCTATTTCTTTATGACTACATACTGTGTTGTCACAATGAACTACTTCCAATAATTTGAACAATTTATCAAAGGACAAACAAACGAAATGAAGGCAGACTTTGAGAAGATACAAAGAGGATGGTATGTTCGAATCAAATATTCAATACTCACTCTTTCTCTAAGACGAGAATCCTCTACAATATTTATGTGAGGGCAGCAATTATTTTTCTTGATAATCTCCTCTGCAGTCTGAAAGATGCCAGAGGAAATTACATTTAACTAGTCAAGCTAAGATATAAAACTAACTTTGACCAACTAGGCCAGATAACCACAGAAAAACTGTGATTGATGGTAGATAACAACTAGGAAAAACAAGGTGCTAAAATGAAACCAGATAACTCCTTTTTTCAGCTTTCAACCAGGAAAAAACTCCATAGGAACAATGTTAATTTTCATCATATTTTTATTCTCTATCCTCTCTGCTGTCTAACATTAAATCAGCTTCCACTGACAACAAAGGAAAAAATCTAGTTTGGCATACCTTTCGAGCTCTTTTCAAATCACTTGAGAAAATATGAGAGAACTTTTCATCATTTAACTTGTTTCCAGCAAGTCGGGCTTGTTCTATACCTTCGTCAGAAAGCAAAGTATCTGTCTGCCCTACAAAATGATTTAGTCATCTTATTGTCAACACCAATAAAATCAAAATTATACAATTTGGTGACCCAACCAGCACAGAGTTCTCACAGTGAGAACAGAAACTTATCAACCACATGTGAAATATTTTCTCCAAAACATGGCTGGTCTTAATGCATCCAAACTTAGTTTATCCATCTCCTAAAACTGAGTTACATTCCCAGTTTTCATATATCTAATCTTAGGTGTATCAAAAGTCTTCATTAACACCTAATTCAGAATGGCAGGGCCCTTTGGTGTTGTTGCCAAAGAAAAAGTCTTGCTTGTTCAAAACACCATTTCAAAAGGTCAACATTCAATGCAGTAAACATTTTGATGCTAAGATTTTTGTTAACTCATGGCCCAACTCTTGCAAAAAAAATGTTATGAATAATAAAATTATGACCTTCATTCAGAATGAAACTAATGCTCAAACATTTGACCTAAGACATAATGTTTTCATCAAGATACACTCTTGAAAAATTGTTTGCTTCTTGCAAAAGATGTAAGCTGATAGCTATACCCAGGAATAGTCTTATGCCACTTGGAGGCCTTCCTTTCTTTTGGTGAGAAAAAAATGTCCTAAATAGTTTGATGGAGGATCTAAAACCTGAATCTTTCAAGTTTTAGAACAAAAAAAAGCCAATCAGGTCATCTTTCTAAACCAAGTAACTTTTGATTAGAATGAAAAATCACAGACATTTTGCAATTTTTCACCTTGAATAATATTTGCCTTGTTTTCTGGAGTTTCACCACTGCAGAGGAAAATTCAGAGTAAAAAGAATCAGTTAATAAAATATGATGCAGTATTTAGCGCGTTAAATTACACTGCTCATCAATCTAGCAAACATCGCCTGTCCCTCGTCTGTAAACAAACGAAATTTTAAATGGTCTAGAAGAGTGAAGGGTTCAATTTTTAGCAGAAGTATTGAGTATCGATTAAATTTTCGAAAACGAGGTCACATTTTCCTCCACAAAACACTGAAAAGTACAGATTTTTCTCAAAAGACAAATTAAAAACCGAGAAAATTGCGAAGACCTACAAATTACCACCCAGTTCAGCTCAAGCGCAGCCATGTCTGTTGGATTACGACACATCACTATAACATCTGTGTTTAAAATTAAATGTTAGGACAACGATTGTTTGCGAATTCGAAGCGTGTTTCCCTCTTTTAAGGGTTTTAAACGCTGCTATACGTCCCATTCATTTTCTGTCCTAAAATCACGTGAAAGATAATTTTTAAAAAATCTCCAATCAGTGATGTCCTGGCATGAAAAGAACGTTAAGACGGTAAACTTCACCAAGTACATATGATGTTAGCTTTTTCCGTTTTAAACAACGGTTCCGAGAAATTTGTTGACTACTTACTGTCTGACAAGAGTTAGAAGAATAAATGCCGAACAGCGATTTCCACCATCAGTAGCGCCGGCCATACTTTCCCCCGCTACCACACCTCGGTCAGGCCTGGGTCAGAATAAAATGTATTAGTGCGGTAGATGCATCCTGGGTAATTTCATTTTGTCAGGTTTTCATTCCTTCTTTTTTCTCTCTATTTTTTTAATATTATTTTTTTAGCAGTCTTATCATGTGTAGACCTGTGAAAAAAATTCAAATTTTTTGTTATTTTTTGGCTTCATTATTCATTGCTTTAATATTTGTTGTGTTTTGTTTCTGTTGTTTTTTTCAAAATATTATTACAATTATTATATTAAATAAATATTATAATAATTACTGTGGCAATTGATACATAATCAGTCAAACTGATTGCTTACTTCCTGTTACAAGGGGGTATAAATAATTAATTGCCAATTTCAAGATCAGCCAGCTTTAATTTTGCATGCTTAATGACCTTGTGTATCTCTACAGTTCTCCTTTGTTCAACAAGGGCTCACATTGCAAGGGAAAAAATCTGCATTCTAAGAAACAACTTAATATCATGATTCAACCATCAATGCACCCTCAAAATAACCCTGTGAATTAGAATTGTTACTTTAAAACCTGCATTTCTACAAAAATCACCGCTGTCCCAAACCTTATTTTCAGTGACAACAGGAATGTTCAAGATGACAAGACTTTATCACATTTTTGCTTAAAGGGTAGTCATTTGATTGTAAAATTGAAACATGGACTCAAGATTTCCCACCCTAATGATGTTTGTAAGATTGTTCTGACAATACATGTCATATGTCAGGACACAAAAAGATGAGTAGGTTCAGCCAACACTCACATGACTATCACTGAGGTACCTATCCATCAATATCTGTCAAACTTTGCAGTTGCTAGAAATTAAAAAACTTTTAGTTAAGATAGCTTCCTTCAAAACGGCTGAAAACCTTAAATAAACTGCAGTTGTGAGTTAAGCTACTGCACCACAGTGTGTGGGAAACATCCTGTTGAAAGGGTAATGGCTGCTTAACATGGCCCTTGGCTATTTGCCAGTTGGTGTTTGAAAAAAAAAAAGACTGTTATTTGAGACTTTCTCCTCACAATTTAACATCACATCCTGCAATCATTCAAGCATCCCTTTATTCAAAACGTGTTATTTGCTTGCAAAATGCTCGCAAATGAGACCAGTATATCATGAGTTTCTCTTAGCATTCTGGGAAGGTTGCCAAGGAGTTGTAAGGAAATCCATAGAGATAATCCATGACGCAGAAATTTCCCAGATATGACTAATTAAGAATGTTGGAGAAATGCTTACAGACCTGATGCCTCTGGCACCATACTGTTTTATAGTCCAAAAGCCAAAGTTAAATTTAAACCCCACAATCACAAGGGAATCTTCTGATTTACATATCAAAATTACCTTTTTCTTGCATGAGCATTTTTACTCTGTAATTGAAAACATTCCTCAGAGAATTAAAGCATTGATTGAAAGAAACGCTAATGCCATTTACGAATAGAACTATTCTTTGGGTCAACAGTCTAGTCTATAGATAAGTGCGTATAACCCTTGAAAATGCATTCCAGAGAAAAGTGAATTGTGTTTACACGATATTGGACCAAATTCGATACTTATTTAGTCACAAACCGTAACCCTCTTTGAGGAAACCGCATACACCAAAAGTTTCGAAGAGCGACCCATACATTTAACGCTATCGTCTGACGATTTAATAGCTTAGCTGCTGGCGTGGAAGATGACTTATTTATAAGTTGTCGTGATAGACAACTTATAAACCGATTTTAAACAAAACAACTTGATCAAGTAGGGACATTATTTGCCACAGATACATAAACCAGTCACCAAATTGACGCTCTAAAATACACGACGATGTTTACTTCTATATATCAATCTCCATAAAACTGGCTGGTCAAACGCAGCAAAAATAGGGCGAACATTCAAATTGCCCTATTAATCCTAAGATACGCCGTGGTTTGCGGCGAATGCAAAACAGGTCAAAGCTTCTTCTCGCACTACCTTCTCTTCGACATACTAAAGGCTCTTCTAATGTGAGCAGGCCTGCTGAGTTCTCCGTTCAACGGTTTTCCTTTTTCTTTGTCTTTTTTAGTTTTGGATTTTTCTCCTTCGCCCATTTGTGTGGCCGACGTTATACTTGTTACATGGCTAAACAGACATGGCGTTGATATCTCAACTTTCTTAAGCTTGCGGAACTTTTTTAAACGTTCCCTGTTCGTAGTCGTCGGAAGTTTATTCAATTCAGGAGCTGAGAGAGGAGACAGGATTTCCTGCACTGCAGCTTCGACCTCTTTTAAGAAAACATTGGCAGATTCCTCACAATTAAAGCGAAACCCCGCCATGGACCCGTCCCCGTTAGAGAGCATCAGCGTATGAAAGTTCTTTTGTTGTTCGTGGTAATTAGAGTTCGAAGTGAGGGTCTCTTTCCATGTCGCAAAGCCGCTATCTCTCTCCACTAAACTCACATGAACTCCCTTAGGATTTCTCGCCCCACAGTCTCCAGTACTGATGACTAACACAGGCACTCCACTCCGTTCAAGAGTCCACTGATTCGAAGGACGTTCGATGCTTGGTGGTTGCCAAAGATAAAGGCTGGCTGTTGTTCCGCACACCACAACGCGGTTCGATAAACAAGATAACGAAAGTTTGATCTTGAAAATATCCTTGTCCGATAAACGTTCGCTCAAGGCATCGTCACTAAGCGTCGTCCTCATGGACATGACTAATCGAAAACAGCGAATTCCAACAAGACGTGACCGACGGAGACTTCAGATTAAAAACAGTCCAATTTAAAATACGGACACTGTCGGTGCTACAAACCTCCGTCTAACATTAACTGAAAAATTAGTGCCACCTCAAAGGTTTAACTTGATGACGCATCATTCTGGGTGGAAAAGCGCTCTTGTGAAAAATTCTCCGTTACTATCTGTCGCTACAGCATAAAAACCCCACTTTTGGGAGAACATACATTTACAATGTAGTGTAAATGGGGGAAGTTAGTCACAGGCGTATGACGTCACGCCTTTTTTGATTTCGACGGATGTGACTGGGTGCGGTGAACTTACTTCCGGTGAAATCGCCTGAGGAGTTTGTTCATTGAAGTACGCAAGGTATAAAAATCGCAAATGGGTCCGGATGGATCAAATCAAGAAAATAAAAGATAAAAATAATTCTTTTTTTCAAAATAAAATAGATCACGAAGATTTTAATCAAGGGGAAGCAAAGCTGATGATATTTCAGGGGGTCATAGTGGGTTATAGGGTTATGCCACCTAACATAGAACGAAAATAAAAGGAATGGGAAAGAAAATGAACCAAGTGGCTGCTCCACTTGAAGAGATCATCTTATACGAAAAAAAAAATATCAAATACTTCATGCTAAGTGGCTGCAGCCGAGTCATAAACCTCCAATGTCTATCATATCAGTGAATCGTTGCCAGTGGCAAATATTGTTGCACTCAAGGAAAATTCTAAAAATTAAAAAGCACCTTTCATAAAGATATCACTATTGAACTACTGCAACATTTAGAATCATTAGAATTTATGAGCTTAATTGAAAACTTTAGCTTGGAGCCTCGATATGGTAAACCTGTAGGTGAGTTACATAATTAATTCAATTAATATTTTTAAACGCGTAATAAGCAAAAGGCTTTAGGTGGCTGAACGCAGTTTTTGATACCTGTGTTTCTTTCACCATTTCCTCTAAAACTCTTGATCCCTCGGTCGCCAAAACTGGCAGCAAGCAAGTTAACAACACAAACTTTTTTTTTTTGATAGTTAAGCTGACGTATGTGCCGTTGTCATGGCGACATGAATAAATATAAACAGGCCTTTAAAATAGGTTTTGGTCATTTGTAGAAAATCTAGTCATTAGTTTTTCTTTATAATTTGCATGCAACGAGCTTGTAACGATACTCACAAGTTAACACCATTTTGCTAACAATTTAACAGAGA